GTTCCCGGCAGGCTCTCCTGCTGGCCCTGCTGATGTGCACCTCTGTCTGGCAGGGAGAAGGCATTGACGCCTGTAGGCCAGCACCTGAACCCGGTGCGGGTACTGCAGCTTGTGGAGGAGATTCTGCCTGACAACACGATTCTGGTGGTCGATGGTGGAGACTTCGTGGGCACTGCCGCCCACCTGGTGCAACCCCGTGGCCCCCTGCGCTGGCTCGATCCTGGTAAGGAAGGGCCTCTGCCTGGGACGGCTTGTACGGTCCAGGCCCCTTTCTACCCACGTACTCTTGGTTTCCCTAGGGGCCTTTGGGACTCTGGGGGTTGGTGCAGGATTTGCACTCGGGGCCAAACTGTGCCGGCCAGATGCCGAGGTGAGTCAGGGCACTGGAGGCAGGAGGCTTGCCGTGTCCTGGGTAGTGAGGTACTCAAGCAGCCTTGTTCCCTGCTCAGGTGTGGTGCCTGTTTGGAGATGGAGCCTTTGGCTACAGCCTCATTGAATTTGACACCTTTGTGAGACACAAGGTGACTGGGCTGCCCGAGGGACGCTGAGGGCTTGGAGTCCTGGGAGCTGTCAGGATGGGCCGGGATAGGGAGGGAGCTGCTTCTGCCTGTCCCTGTCTTTGCCCTCTGGTTGGCCAAGCCTTGAAACTGAAGGCTGTGGGCTGGCCTCGCCCTCTCCCTGCAGATCCCAGTGATTGCCTTGGTGGGGAATGATGCTGGCTGGACCCAGATCTCTCGGGAGCAGGTGCCCTGTCTGGGCAGCAATGTGGCCTGTGGCCTGGCTTACACCGGTGAGGGGCCTGGGCAGGCTGGAGATGGGGGGAGGCTGTTTCAGGCCCGGATGGGCATGCGTTCCTCTCCTGGGCTGACTGCATGGCAGGCTGGGTCCCTGCCACCATCTGACTGGACTTCTCCTTTCAGATTATCACAAGGCAGCCATGGGACTTGGGGCCCAGGGCTTGCTGCTCTCCCGGGAAAAAGATCAGGTGGTCGAGGTGCTTCGTGATGCTCAACAGCAGTGCCGAGAAGGCCACCCGGTTGTGGTCAACATCCTCATTGGGAGGACAGACTTCCGAGATGGCTCCATTGCTGTGTAGGGCCTCATGGGTCAGTACCCTTGGCTCCCTTCCCACCCCTGGACTGTACCTAGCTGGTTGAGAGCCTCATCCTTGCCTACCTGGACCTGGCCTATCAGGTCCACTGACTCCACAACCCTCCAAGAAGACAGGGTGGGGCTGCAGGGGTCAGAGCTCAGAGAAGCTCCGTGGCAGCACCCGGGAGCTCCTGGGCTTTTTTTTCTCTGTGGAGGACAACTGCCCTTTTCTCCCTTCCTCTCTTCCACGCTTAATAAACCACCTCTGGTCCGTGTGGGCCCAAGTACTCATCCCAGAACGTGTGCATATTGATTTATTTGTCCACAAAGATGGGAGTGAGGGAAGGTGGGGGAGACAGGAGGGGACCCTACTCTCCCATTGGAGCTCTGGGGCCCACTGTGGCTCCATTACTGGGGATTTTAGGGTGTCTGGCCACTGCGAACTCTTTCCCTCTCAGAGGTCCCTGAAAGAGCCCCATACGCCTGCTCCAGACGTGTCCACCCATGCACACTAGTCCTCACACACAGACACACACGCACGGAGGCAATAAATATGTTCCGTACCAAAGTGCCCCCAGCCTGACATTTCAGGTGGGGCCCCTCCACAGGGAGGTCTTGTAAGTGCTCAGTTTCTTCAGGGATGTGGAGGAAGAATGGGGGAGGGGAAGGGCCAGGCTCTGCTATCTCCGTTTCCTGGTTTGAGGCAATCACGGGGCTTTCCCTGGAAGAGAGGGTGGGGAAACCAGCTGTTTTTCTAAAAGCCCCCAGCTACCCCTATCCAGCCAGAGCCCAGATAGGGGCTTTCCCCCACCCTGCCCCAAACAGCACCTCACCATAGTCCTTGGGCCCTCCGCGGAGGAGAGAAGCAGAGTGCAGTGCTTAAAGCTAATACTGAATTGGTTGGCAGCAGCAAGAGGATTGGCGCGGGGCATGGGTGGGGCGGGGCGGGGAGTGTCTCACCACCCTGGGGTGATGCTCACAGTAACTGGTGTTTCCCTGGCTAAGGGGAGGCAAGAGAGGCCAGCCCAGCAAGCGGAAGAAGTGCCTTTGGCAGCAAGGAGAAAAGCCCTTGGTACTCAGAAAAGATGGCCACGACGGCTGGTCCCGAAAATCCCCAGTCCCAGCCTGTGCAACCAATGCCCCAATAGCGAGCACTGGAAACGAGGAATGATTCTCAGCAACGGGCTGGCTGGTCACTAGGCAACGCCCCAGCAGCCGGGACCAGGGCCTGAGTGACCGGTCTGGTCCCTTCAGGGGCTGGATGGAGCACGGCCTCAGCAGCCAGGAGCCCGGGGCCCCAGTGACCGGGGTCCCACCCCGCCCGGCTCAGAGGCACACGTTTATCTGCTTGGAGAGCTCTCTCTCCAGGTCCAGGATGAGGGCGTCGAAGTCTTTCAGGTTCAGGTGCGGGTTGAAGGGCGCCTCGAAGTCATCGTCGAAGTCAGCGGCGCCCTCCGGCTCGCCCGCGTCCTCGTCCTCGTCCTCGCTGCAGCTGCCCGTCACGTGCTCGTAGTCCGGCCCGGACAAAAAGTCCCGCGCGCACGGCAGAAAGTCCCGCCCGCAAACGCTCCAGTCACCCGCGTAGCGGTTACTCGGGGGGCTTTCGGGGCCGCCCCGGCCGCGGGGCCGAGTCACCACCTCGGGGCTGGCGAGTGGCAAGTGCAGCGACGGCTGCCCTTTGGGCCGCACGTACGGGGCGACGTCCGGAGGCTCCGGGGACCTGCGGGGATCTGCGGAGGGAGAGCGGGGCTCGTGACGGCGTCACGCGCCGCGCGAGAAGCCAGACCTCTGATTGGCTGCCCAGGTAACCAGGCCCCTGATTGGCCCTGACGAAAGAAAAGCCCTGCAACCGCATCGCGAGTTCCCTGGCGGAGCTAGAACTGGTTGCTTAGGCAACCGGCCCTCTGAAGGGCGTGTCAAGAGGCAGGGCCTCTGACCGCGTCAAGCTTGGATGGGCTCTAGCTGGACGGGTTGCCGGGGCTACCAGGTACCGGTTTACCCTGGTGAGGGGGCGTGGCATGCCTGAAGCTCGAGACTCTGATTCGTCGCCCGAGAAAGCGCCGCTGCGGCGGCCTGGCCTTGATTGGTGGTGAGGGCTGGAGGCGGGCTCACCTGGCCAGGCCTGCAGCAGGTAGTGCAGCACCTCGATGTGGCGCTTGAAGTCCACAGCGTTGGTGGGGCCCGGGCCAGAGCTCCGGATGCGGGGCCTGGCAGGTGACTGGCGCGCCGGTAGCAGCACGGGACCGAAGCACACGGCCAGGTTCTGCGGGGTCATGCGATTGTGGGCGTGGAAGGAGGAGACGAGGCGCAGGTGGTCCAGGAGAAGCGTCAGCGTGGCCTGAGAGAAGAAGGTTGGGAATCGTGAGGCTGACTGGTCCCCTGTCACACCTGGTGGAAGGGGGGGGGGGGCGGGTAGACGAACGCGGCCCGGAGTGGGGAAACTCAAGATCTCATAGCTGGTTGATGGCCGAGCTAAGGCTTCGATACTACTATTATGATCCCATTTTGCTGGAAGCGAGACTGAGGACAAAGGTAACTTAGTTTTGGAATGGCAGAGCTTGGATTTGAACCCACTCCTCTGTGTGTTAGTCAGGGCTAGCATTAATTCCATTTTACAGATGAGGGTATTGAGGCACAGAGGGTCGGGACTTCTCTAGGATTCCACAGCCAGGAACCTCCCTTGTGGTAGGTTGACAGACCTGTATTCAGAGCCTCCATTTTTTGTGATGTTCTGGCTGTGCAACCTTGGGCAACTCACTCAACTGCTCTGGGCCTAGGTTTCCATAGCTATGAAGTGGGGATTCTGATAGCACCTAATAGCCACATGCTCGTGCACATCATGGGCTCAGGTGTGGATGAAACACTCTACTGGTGTCAGCCCGCTATGAGTCCTGCCCACTCCCACCAGGCCCAACTCACCCTCTCCACATCCGGCAGGCAGTTGAGGAGCCCACGGGTGCCCTCAGTGCTGGAGGGCGCCCTGCTTGGGGGTCCTCGGGCCATGGCTTCCAGCACCACCTGATAGAGGGGCTGGGTGATGAGCGGGGTGGGCAACTCCCGAAGATAATCCTTGAGGATGCCTGTGGACACAGGGCCCACTCTGGTCAGGGCACCCCTGGCTTCTGAGTCTGGAGGGGTCAGCTGGGGCTGGGAGGGGGAAGAGGAGGGCAGGCACAGGAAGATGAAAACAAAGCCAGAGAGAAAAGGGTGAGGTCCCAGAGGGACCACAGGGACTCCCTTGAGGTGAAGGTTGAATGGGGAGCAGGTGGGGGTAGGCAGGGGCATGCTGACCAGTGATGACATTGATATCGGGATACAGGTCCTCGGAGAGGCAGACGGCTGCACTGTCCCGCTCAAAGGCATCCCGAAGTTCTTTCTTGACAGCTGCCGAGCCACACAGGCGGTAGAGCCCCACCACCTGGGGGTGGGCGCAGAGAGATGTCTTCTTGCCAGTGCTACAAACTGATGAGGGCCGGGTGGGCTGAGGGCTGGAGGCCCGGGTCAGGGTGGCAGTGGGCTGAGGGCTTGGGGGCTGGCTGCAGCTTTACCAGCTGCCTTTCTGCCCTTCTGACACCTGTCGTGGTGTCCCCACCATGGCTCCCTGAACAAGCTGGCCGCGTAAGCCCTCTGCTTGGCTCACTTGTCCTCAGGTCACTTGTCACCTCCTCTGGGGAGTCTTTCCTGACTACCCCAACCAGAGGTCAGGTCCTGCTTTAAGGACCTGCTCTCTCCCTGCTTCTCCCCTCTTGTCCCAGCCACAGTTTTACACTTGTGAGTTTCGGGGATCGTGTCTTTTCTCCCATCAGGCTCTGAGCTCCAGAAGGTCTGGGACCCTGGGTTCTGGGTTGGGTGCTATGGTCTAGGGGAGCCTTCTGCCCTTGTCTAAGCTGGGATTGGAGCTAGGAGTGTCCCAGGCAGGGTGCACGTGTGGGGAAGGCCTGGCCTCTGTACGCGGGGTGTCCTGGGGGTGTAGGTCTGAGGTCTGGGGGCCGCCGGGATGGGGCAAGGGGCTCACCCGCAGCCCTCGGCGCTCGATCTGCCCAACGCACTTCTGGATGATGAGGGGCACCTGGCCGGGGGGCTGTTCCCGCTCCACCAGCAGCGGCAGGGGCAGCCCAAAGACGCGGGGCTCAGCTGTGCCTGGTGCTTCCTGCTGCTCTGACAGCGTCAGCTTGGCATACAGCAGCCCCTGGGGCTCCAGGCGCACGGCCAGTTGCTGGGCCTGGCACCCTGAAGACACAAGGAGGCCTGTGGGGTCTGCCCCCACAGGCTCCTGTGCCCTGGCCCCCTACTCCAAGCCACCCCCCAGGCCCCGGACACTCTGGGGGAAAAGGGGAGCCGGGTCCTGTGCCAACCGCTCTTCCCTTGCGGCCACGTATCCTACCTCGGAAGACCGTGGGTAGCAGCACAGTGCCCTGGGCACAGGGCCGGTGTCGCCGAACACCGGGGTCCCATGCCAGCACCAGGGCCCGCAGCAGCCGGGCAGCCTCGAGCTCCAGGTGGAAGGTGTGGTCCAGCCGCAGGAAGTCGGGCCCCCCCCTCAGCGGCCCCGTTCGGGCCCGGGCCACCCCATCCACCTGCAGTAGGCAGCACAGGTCTCTGGGGGTGGCCCCAGGTGCCGGCCGCAGCCCCCCCAGCCCGTACAAGTGTAGGCTGAGGCGGCCCCAGAGTGCGGCGGGCGGCGCTCGGGCTGGGGGGCCCGCCTCGTAGGGCCGGAAGGCAGTGGGCGATGGGGGCCCCGCTGGGCGCTCCGGAGAGTCCCCGTCACTGAGGTAACCGGCCCGAGGGCCCCGTGTGGCCCCAGCCCCTGCCGCCCGGCCAGGGGCCCCCACACTGCTGTCCAGGTGGTAGCGGCTGATGACGGAGCCCTCGGGGGCGGCCCTCTCACGCTCTCGGCCCGCCCGGGTGCCCCGCAGGCTCAGGCGGCGCCGAAGGTCAGGCAGCTTCTTCATCTTCATGGAGAGGCGCCTGGCTGGGCCGGGGGACTTCGTGCGGGAGGCTTTGGCTGGGGGGCTGGCAGGGGCCGCGCCTGGGGAACAGCATACCTCAGGGGTCAGAAGCCTGGGCTTGGGACCGGGGTGAGGCTTGTGGTCATCTTGGGGGGCCGGAGGTCTGAGGCTTGTGCTCACCTTGCGAGGCTGGGCCCTCTGGCTCCGCTGAGCCTGGCTGTGGCCCCGGGGGCTCAGGTGCCAGGGGTCTGGAGTCTTCCTCAGGGATAGGGTTGTACCAGATCTCACCCGCGGGCTCCCCGCTGCCGGGCGCCCTGGGCCCCAAAGCAGCCTCTTCTGGTGGCTTGGCCCCACCCAGCACCCATCGGCGGCTGCTGGGCTCCAGGCTCTGCAGGTAGGCCCCCCGAGCTGGGCTCCGGGATGCCTCGGGGCTAGGGGGGCCCTCTGCCCCGGCCTGGGACTTTTCGGGGGCGTGGGGCTCTGGCTCTGGAGGACTGGGCTCCGGGCGCTGGGCTGGCCGGCCTGGCAGAGAGCAAGGGGGGTGACACCCAGCTACCGCCTGCTGCCCCCAGTGCAGCCCCAGCGAAGAGCTCTTTCCCCAGCAGGGGCCAGGGCTGGGGTGCACGCGGCTCTGGCATTCACTCCACTTGTTTGTTTGGAATGGGCGGGCACAGGCCAGCAGTCTCACTGGTTGCCAGCTTACAGCCCACCCCCTCTTAGTTCCTGGGGTCCCAAACGGGATTCTGTCCCTCTGCCCTTCAGCCTCAGGGGTCCAGTGGGGTTTCTCCAGACCTGGGCCCTGCATTCTCAGCTCTACCTCCCACCCCTGGCATGGAGCCCTGCTCCTGTCCCTTCTTACTGGGTGGCTTTGGGCAAATTGCTTTCCATCTCTGAGCCTCAGTGGCCTTCTGTGAAATGGGGGGGGGGG